AATAATGAATATATATATAAATAATGTGTACTTAACTAATAATGAATATATATATAAATAATGTGTACTTAACTAATAATGAATATATATATAAATAATGTGTACTTAACTAATAATGAATACATATATAAATAATGTGTACCTAACTAATAATGAATATATATAGTGTGTACTTAACTGATAATGAATATACATAAATAATGTGTACTTAACTAATAATGAACATATATAAATAATGTGTACTTAACTAATAATGAATATATATATAAATAATGTGTACTTAACTAATAATGAATATATATAAATAATGTGTACTTAACTGATAATGAATATACATAAATAATGTGTACTTAACTAATAATGAATATATATAAATAATGTGTACTTAACTAATAATGAATATATATAAATAATGTGTACTTAACTAATAATAAATATATAAACAATGTGTACTTAACTAATAATGAATATATATATAAATAATGTGTACTTAACTAATAATGAATATATATAGTGTGTACTTAACTAATAATGAATATATAAATAATGTGTACTTAACTAATAATAAATATATAAACAATGTGTACTTAACTAATAATGAATATATATATAAATAATGTGTACTTAACTAATAATGAATATACATAAATAATGTGTACTTAACTAATAATAAATATATAAACAATGTGTTCTTAACTAATAATAAATATATAAACAATGTGTACTTAACTAATAATGAATATATAAACAATGTGTACTTAACTAATGAATATATATATAAATTTGTGCTTAACTAATAATGAATATATATAAATAATGTGTACTTAATTAATAATGAATATATATAAACATAATGTATAATGAAGTCTGAGATTTTAACATGCAAGTTTTGATAATGCTTATAATGAAGTCTAAACTATTTCCCTACATCACAAATACTGCAAAATCATTATATTTTCATGCCTCTATATTGGGTAATTATTACTACAGGATCAAAACTTTTGTGGCAATGTTTTTGTTTTAAAATATAGGTTTCCATCAAATTTATGTGTTCTTTAAAGGTTTTCAGTTGTGTTTTGAATGCAAGTGAAGGAAATAAAGGATGAGAATGGAAATGAAGGTTTCACTGGGAAATAAGTTTTCAACAATAATGTACGAACAAATTTCCTTTCTTATACATGCATATAAAACGGGGCATCCAACCGGTGCTCAGATGTATCTTTCATTATTAAAATACTGCTTGGTTTGAATTTTAACTTCTCTTTAGAAAACTACCCCAGAATAAACTGGAGGAAAACTCTTCACGGGTATACAGACAATTAGTGCACAAACAGCAAAAGATTTCCTTCAGAAACAAATTTTTGAAAGTTGAATAAATGATAAACCTAAAAATAACATTACCCAAGAGCAGAGATGATTATCTTTTAGAGTTTACACAAAACATCAATATTATTAATATGCAATCACTTAATGCACAATAGAAAAAAAAAGGAATACTTCCTTAGCCTTATCATTAATATGGTAGTACTTAATAGTAGAGATCGTGAAGAAACAAAATGGCAGCCATAAAAATCGTTCGTTTTAAAACCACCATCAAAATGTCTAAATATTAACAATGAATATTTCACTGTATTGGCTGAGAAAAAACTACAGCTTATTGTTCTTACAAAGCTTCCTAAGTCACTATACATGTGTTTATGGAGTGAATCAAATTTTACTATTTCAACGAATTTTCATCTACATAAGTAAGTGACTTTTCCAGACAAGCGTATGGAAAAAATGATGAAACTTATCACTAATTCTTTCACAGGATTCTTCCATCTAAGGTTCCAATAATTCCTTTCTTGTTCTGAGAAGGATATTAATGTGTGTGTACATATATATATATATAAAATAGACGATGTGCTGCTTTGGGCATATAATTAGATTTGAGAGTAGGTTGGTAGAGATCCTAATGAGTAATAACATAAAATCAGGTATACAAGCATCCCACACTTGGTGTTGCTGGCACACAAAAATAATAGCTACTAAAAAAAGGGAAACGAGCATTTATAATAAAAAAAATAAATTTTATAAAGATAAGTAGTCTGAGCCAAAGTAGGAATAAAAATTTTAAATGTTAAGCAACTCAGTTTTTGTAGTTTTGACTAACATAATTACAGTGATTGCTAAAGTAGGGATAAAAAATTCTAATTTTGAGTAACTCAGTTTTTGTAGTTTTGACTAACATAATTACAGTGATTGCTAAAGTAGGGATAAAAAATTCTAATTTTGAGTAACTCAGTTTTTGTAGTTTTGACTAACATAATTACAGTGATTGCTAAAGTAGGGATAAAAAATTCTAATTTTGAGTAAC